TGTGTTCATGCACGTAACATAATACACGGATCCGCTGCTAAACGTTACCGATAAAGGCTACCGCTTTTAACGATTCCTTTGACCCTTCATCTAAAAAAAAAAAAGGGGGGGGGGACGGTGTGGGGGGTAACTTTTTTTCGACAACACGGCGTGCAAGTTCTTGAGCTCCTTGAGCACGCATTTCTTCATCTGCCAAATTTATCTATGTTCTTTTGCCCCCCCCCCTTCTTTTACCTCAACCACAGACGTCGTGCGTTTGGCTGCATTGTCATCGCGCGTTCCCTGCGCATTCTCTATGTTGCCTTTCTTTTGGCAACAATGACTTGCTCGACTATTTGACTATACACCGAACAAGTCTTCCAAAATGACTCGTTAGAGCATCAAAACCAAAGGAGGTACTCCTTGGCCTCCGACGCGCCAAAGACGGATTTTGGTACGTTTGTTCGGCGTATAGTTGAGCACGTCCAGCTTTTCCCGCAGCTCAGCTTAGCACCTCCACTTGTCCTTTCTTCAGCCTCCTTTTATTGAGCATCGAACTTACGAGCACGTTCCCCCGTTCTTTTGACGAGAGGGATTCGAAATTCAGTGAGATTTTTCAGCACCCTGCGGTCGATGGCCATGAAGCGAAAGCTTCGTGCTGAGTTAGCCGAGCAATAGTTTCGCTATAGAGTAACCGAAGAAACACGGGGCGGGGTCATCTTGGCACTTGTTGCTTCGTTATTTGTTCCTCGGTGTTTTTATCGGCTAATGACTGGATCTTCTTGACTACGGGGTGATAGTTACAAGCTCGGGACCACTGTGGAGGATGAAAGAGGTTTCTGTGCGGCGCCGCCTCGCAACGGAGCAAGTTTTCCGCAGAAAGGGATTTAGGAAAAAGGAGGGGGGATGACCCCCTCTCCCCTCTTTTTTTACTTCAAGGTAAAATTTATTTACAGCGAAGTTGTTTATGGCTAAGGTTCCGTGGATTTTTCGTGTGCGTCAACAAAAACTTCATTTTGCCCGCTAGTTTTAGCGGAAACAATTTCCCCGCCAAATCTAGCCAAATAATTTCCCCGCTGAATTTAACGGAAAAATTTCCCCGCAAAGTTTAGCGGATAAAGTTTGCCGCTATATTTAGCGAGGAATTTTCCCGCTATATTTAGCGGGAAAAAAAGCGGGAAGGAGGAGGAAGAGGGAAGCGTACCACCCTCTTTTTTTCGTTCCAAGCGCTTACGTGCCTAGTTACCTTTCCTTCCGCCAGGTGGCGGTCCCGTCGGGCGTGTCTAGTTTCCTCCGGTTCCTCGGGGCGGCGATAGTCCTCGACATGTGTGCGCGCTCCTTTCATCGCGATGACCACCGATCAAGACAATAAATGTGTTTGTACCTTTGTTCAAAATGTTGTGTCACGTCTTTGTCGTGTCCTAAACAGCTTTGCTGGCCATCCGCCTACACAGTGTGGAATGGCTCAAGATTTTAGAACGCAGCTCTCAGGTGCCCGTTTCCGGCTTGAGCGGCGTCGCCGTCGCCCTCGGTGGAACGGCACGGGTTGCATCCGAATAAAGCAAGCGGGCGTATTTGCTCGTTGCATTATGGAAAAATTGCCCGCTAAAAAGTTTCCCGCGAAATTTATCTGGAAATTTATCGGAAATTTCCCGCTTAGTGGGAGGGGAATAGGAGAGTTGGAGGGGAGTGTACGGAGGGGGAGGAGGTGCATACCCTCCCCTCCGTACTCTCCCCCTCTCCTCCTCAAGAGCTACGCTCTTAGCAGATTTAGATTTTTTTTTTAAGAAACAAAAAACAAAAACAACTCGTACTTGGTGAAAGTTCAATTACCTCCATCCGTGACGTCAGTCCATCATGGTGTAAATTTGTTCGTGACGTAACACCTTGTTGCCAACTAGACCTCCACCCCCAAACTAGACCCATGAATCCGCCCCTGGTGACGGAAGATTTGCTCGCCTTTCTGGCACACGCCACGAGATGCGCATCACGATTTTACTTCGTTTCGACTGAAATCCAGACGCAGCCGACGCAACAAGGTGGTGGAACCAATCGGACGGCGTCAAAGCCTCACCATCCTGGTGTTCGTCATGTCGTTCTCTTTTTACCTCCTCTTCATCACTGACCCAATCGTAAACAGAAAATGCCCAGTGAGGCGCGCTTTATAGGTTTCTTGATTCGCCCGATTACCTCGAAGCGTCGACTGCATTTAGAATAACGCCGAAACGAAGTATAGACCAACTCAACCGAACTCCACGCCTGTTGTAGGCAAAGCGGTCTGGTCTGTAAACACTGTGTTGGTGTATAAGCCCTGCAGGAACCGTCCTTATTTGCGAACATGTTTTCGTGGCGGTGCGGCGTGCGACCGCGCCCCACGAGGGAGCCCTATACCGATTGTGCCCCTCATGGGAGATGCGAGAAGCCCGCGTGAAATTTCGGTCCCCTTTTGTTGCCCCGCTGAGACACCCATCTCTTCTCCCACTCCCGATGCCGGGCGTGGACAGCTAGGGGCTGTCCACGCCCGCCATTTCTTTAGCCGTGACTGACTTATCGGCTGCCTCGCACGTATATCTTTCTTACAAACCGCGGCCCTCTTTGTTGTTTACAGTTTTTCCCCGTGCGTGTTAGCACGATTAATGGTATTTCCTCCGCATTGCTGTACGATCGACTTCGCGAACACCGCAATAATATTACCACAGCCAACTCGGGACATCTAGGTCTGCGCTGCCGGAATTGCGGGTGTGCGGCACAACTACGTTATTGCACCGTGCTTGACCAAAAACCACAACCAACTACCTAGGGAAAGAATTGTAGCGAAACATATTGCCAGTATTGACGATGGATGCGGGAGCATCCCATCTCTCAGCTTATCTGAAAAAAGGTTAGTTCACTTCACCTTAAGAAGATAATCGCGGACTATTTTACGAATTGGTTTTAATAGGTGGAGAAAAAAATGATTACAAAACAATTTACAGAGTTTGTTGTAACAATATGTAGAAGAAAACGAAGACAAAATGCAAATAGTTGTGAGTGCAGCACTGTGTGTTCGGTTTTGTGTCTGTAATCGAGTGAGTGGCTGTTTTGTGAGACGTTTATGAGCTGTTAAGTAGTACTAGCGCTGGAAGTGGCGCAGCTGAAACTTCTCCTTGCCGTTCTAACCCGTTCAGTGACTACAATGATTTCCGTTTTTTTTTTTATAGCGTTATTGCGCGTTTGTTGCGAAAATAATGCAACGAGGACTTCTCTGCGTCTTTTCCCCATCCCTGAGGCTAGGCCCAAGCATGAGCTCTGCGGTGAACGTCGGCGGTTATTTGAACAAATGCCCTTCGCTACCTTTCGTGGAAATAAATTCTAGGCGACGCATAAACTTGGACGTTTGTAGTCTCGGCGTCATAAAGCCCGTGCGTCGGCGCTTGGAAGGCACGCGAGCGTTATCTTCCTCCACGACCGCCTTCGTTTTTTTGTTGTTTTTTTTTTTATTTTATTTTACAGGGCGGAAGCTCGTGTTAGCGCGGCCCGCAAGCTGGCTTCCCCTCACAAAGGGTTAAAGTGCGGGGAAGCATCAGAGAGAAAGGCAGGGGGAGGCAGCGACCGTCGTCGCAAGACGCCTGCCTTTACGGCTTTCCGTGTTTATAGCGGTCATTCCTGGAAACGTTTTGACTTCCCCAATATAATAAAAAAAGGCGCGCATTTCGAGAAAAGCTTGCCCGCTTTTTTGTTTTCTTTCGACAACCTTTAATTTGTTTACTTTTTCTTTAATGTTTGCGTGTTTAGGTTTGGCGGGCCGTCTTGCCTCAGCGCACCAACCGGTAAACCACAGGAAAGCTATGACAATTCACGTTACATTCGCAGAGTCCTAAGCAAAATGCGATCCACTTTCCTGGTGGCGAGAAGTTTTTCAAGAGGAGCGAGCCATCTAGAAAAAACACGGGCGTTTTCTTTTTATTTTTTTATTTTTTATTTTAGAAAATGTGCGCAGGGCTAGGATTAAAAAAACAATGTTACAGAAAAGTTTAATGCGGAAGAGTAACGCAAAAGTGTAACAGCCCAAATTTAGCTTAAAAAATGAATTGGTGTTTTTCTACCCGAGTTCGGGATTTCTCGCTAAATTTGCCGGGGAAACGCCTCGCGCTACGGTCGGCGAAGAAACGAAATTCGTTTATGATTAAGTGCGCAGCAATTCGTATTTTTCTGGTCGATTTGGCGAGAAAAGGCTGGCAGCTAAAATGAGCGGAGGAACGGAGTTCGTTTATAACTATTTGCAGATTCGAGTTTTTCTGGTCATTTTGGTGAGGGAAAGATTTCAGCTCAATTCAGTGCTACGTCACTCTGCTAAATATTGCTAAAATTACGTGACTCCCGAAAAAAAAAAGAAAAACCTCATGCATAAACATAAAGTGCAGTTAAAAAGACGCTTCAGGTACTGCGTCTCCGGGTATTATCCTTAGGTTGAAGATATATTTTGTTTTTGTTGGTGAGTTGTGACGGCAGTGGGATAGAGATACTGCCGATTGACCGCGGAGTCAAGAATCGTTTTCCAGCCGGAAGAAGGCAGTCGGGCTTTGGGAGCCTTTTCGCGCGCTTTCTTTCCCGCGGTACTGCGCCCGCGCTTCTCCTCAAGGAGCGCGCGGACAAATGGCAAACGCCGGCCCGCTGTCCGGCGGCTTGGCTCTCCGACAGCTGGAGACAAATGGCGTCCATCCCTGAACACCTCTTTCTTTCGGGACGCGCGCTTTTCCTCTTTTCCCGCGCTCGCCGCCGGCGAGCGCGCCCGCCCTAGTTGTCGGCGCGGCCGCTGGGTGGCGCTTCAGTCGGTTCTTTTCAAGATGGCGGCGGCCCGCCCGGGCCCCGTGCTTCGACCCGGGGCTCGCAGAGTGCCCTGCGCCGCCGGCCTGAAAGAACCGTGCGCCGCAGAAGCCGTCGGCCGAGTCGCCGATAGTGTCTCTCCTGGGCGCCTCGCGCTCACGGTCACACTCGGATTACATTCGCCGGGAAGAGGCTGCCGACGCCGCGTCAGCGTCATGGGCCAGGCGTTGCCGGCCATCCCCTGGCTGCGAGTGCTGCTACCGTTGCTAGTGCTCTGCCAAACGAAGGCACCGGTGGTCGGCGAAGGTAAGCTGCTTCTGTGGGTGACTTCTGCGTGTGCACAGAATATATGGTTTATGTATCGCCGGCCGATAATTTTTTTTTTCTTTTGGTGTGTGTGCTGACAGTAAGTTGTTGAGTGCGGGACAAATGGAATGGGACATGGATTCTGCCATCACTTGAAGTCCAAGAAAAGCCGCCGTGTCAACGCGCGAGTCGCAGGACGGGCGCGTTGTGTCGCGCGCGTGTGGTTGTAGACCGTGAAGGATTTGAGCTGCGTGAATCCCCAGATTCCCTACGTGTAGGGAAAAGCCGTTGGACGTTGTTTACTGGCCGAGGCTGAACTTGGAATCCCGCGCCCGAGCCCGTGGAGCCGCGGAGTTTGTTGACGACCGGATTCCTGTGGAGGCCGTCGATATATTTTTTGTTTTATTATGAGATTCGGAACCCGGTAATCAAAGGTCTTGTAGTTCAGAGATCGGATAGCCGGAAACACTGACACTCTGATCTTTTTAATTCGAGACTAGTTAAGAATAGGTGCGACCGAAGCGTCCTTCGTCAATTTATACTTTGTTATTAAAAACCATTCGTCGTATGCCGAGTAGCGCCTTTAAACCCCTATTTTAGCAGTTTTTTTTTTAAATTTCTACAGGGTGTGCAGAAATGAATTGTTTTTCATAGTTGGGTCGCATGATGGACACAAAAACGCTTAGGAGGGAGCCTTCATTGGCCTTATGGCTACGCTAACGCCTGACTTTTTATGTTCATTTATTTTTTCTCCTTTCATTAGAGCGACAAAATTGGAAAAACGCATGGCACAAGCTCGTCGTAGTGCTTGTGTTTGTGCGGTGAAATGTAACAAAAGGCGACATGCCAATACCATAACATCCGTACTGTCGGGAGTTCGCACCTACAAAGAACCGAGTATACTGCAAACGTTGAGACGCGTGTTTTTGTTTTAAGTCGCAGGGAACGTTGGGTATCTATACCTACACTTCAATTACAATTGAGTTGCAAAGTTTCTTCTAGTCCAATAGACCGCGTGTCCCGACGACCTCGTTCCAGTCTCATCAGCGTACGAACACATTTACTTACCGCTCATTCACACTGGAAGCGGATCCGCGTTCGCAAAGCGGTTGCGAACGCGGTTGTATAAAGATCCAGTGCAATTGCACGCGCACTCGAGGACATCAGGTGCGCGTGCAAATGTACTGAATCTTTATACAACCGCGTTCGCAACCGCTTTGCGAACGCGGATCCGCTTCTAGTGTGAATGAGCGGTTAGAGGGAAAATAAACAATGTAGGATTGAATAACAACGCCGCACATATTCGAGTTTGCGGGTATGAGTTGTGCGTTCGCGCGTACGTAATCAGGTGATTGGCTCTGTCGTATGTTTACTGACGAAAGTAGCTGCGACAATAGTTCCTGGAAACACGTACAAACATTTGTTTATTACCCTTCATTGTTTTCTTTTAAGAGTGAAAGTGAACACTCTATTTCGACACGGTCGTGTAACGCTTTATGATACTTACAACTTCATCACACTTCAGAGGAAGAAGGCCTCTCGAAGTTTCCCATATAGTGAATATTGAAGTCAATGCAGAAGGAAACGCAAAAAACAATCAATTTAGAGCAACTGAAAGCCCTTGTTCTTTTATATCGCCAATACATTCGCCAGTCGGCCATAGGGGGCGATTCGCGGTATCGCAAAACGCGCGTTTTACTTTTTTTTTTTTTTTTTTGCTGTGAACAATTTTTTTTTTTTTTTTTTGCTGTGGAGAACTTTTTTTTACACCATCGAGCACGTTGTTCTCAAATTGGAGTAAGTCACCACGATCGTAAGCACTGCGACACAATAGAGAATGTCAGCAGATCATTCCGATACTTCCGATATCCCCGGTTACAATACCCGATAACGATACTTTGCATGTGCAAAGGCGGTGGTTAAGTATCGGGTAACGTTACCGGAGCCATCGGAACGTTCTACTCAAACTCTCTGATCATCCAACATACCCGATAGGCAAACGGCACTACCTGTTAAAAGAGAGTTTTTATGGAACCGTTTTTTGCACATCCGATACGATACACGATGTGCCCTCGGGTACGAACTGCGCAAGCGCAACCACAAAAGACTCGCATACGCGCACTTCGTACCGGAAGGCCCATCGTGTAACGTATCGGAAGCGCAAAAACGACCCCCTAAAACATTATAGTGTCGATATTGCGCCCGTATATGCTCCGTTTCACCTTACAATAGGGACTTTTAGCAAACCGTTGCCGCGTTTCGCGAACCGTACTACCGGAGCCTTAGAAGCGTGCTTTTAAGTGCGCGCCTGGGTGATACGTTGACCGCGGGGCGCGCGTTCAAACGCGTGCATCGAAGGCTCTCGTAGTGCGGTACGCGGAACACGGCAACGGTTTGCTAAAGGTCTCCAATAAACCGCAACAGACGCTACGAAGCACCGGAGCCACTCCGTAGCTTGGAGGCTGCTAGCTAGAGCGACGTGTGAAATGACGTTGCACGCGTGTTGCGTTGGATTGGTTAATAGAACTCGTAATGTCATTTGCGGTACTGTATCGTAAAGTGCAAAATAGAGGCGATGATTAAGCCGACTGATAGGGCTAAATAGCACAGCAATCGGAAAAGATGAAATGCAACTGAAGCGGGTTTTGTTTCCAGTGCTCATTTAGCACTGAGTTAGCCCAGTGTTGAATCCGTGAACAGTCAAAATTTAGCGTTGTCTCATCGCGTTCTTCTTTAGCGCAGTCTACTATTTTGCTGGTGTTATTCAATTTGCAATGTAATATTTCAACGATGTCCCTCGTTAGCAAGGGTTCTGTGGTTTCAATAAATGTCGATGAACTTCGAAAAAATAACCCGGAGCTGATTTTATCACAATTGAGAAAAAAATTTGAAACTTAGAGCTAGCAGTAAAAAAAAAAAAAAAAAAAAAAAAACAGAGATAACAAGTTTTGGTAACATTATTTTTTTTATTTCCAGCTCTATATTTTAACTTTCTGCGAGGTCGCTTTTTCTTCGGGGAACAGTCCTTATCTCGTTTCTCTTTTATATCGGCACAGGGACGTTTCTCGTGTATTCGGATCACGCGCATGGTCCCTAGAAATTGGGGAATTCGATGCCCACTTTACTTTAACACGAACTCTGATCTTTTGTCCAGCACCAAAAATTTACACCGAAGAACACCGAATCCGTGGGAAAAAATAAACCAGAAAAAAAAACGGCGCCGAATTTGAAGAAAAATATTCCTTATCAGCAGGGTACTGATAACGTACTTGAGGTATGCTCGGGCGGAAAATGCAAGTTACTCACGTTACCGAATGGCGAAAGAAATTGTTTTATTTGCTTAAACAATTGCGCAGAATTGAACATTTAAAAAAAGAAACAAAAACGCTGGCAGGCTGGAACACTTCGCGTCACTGTCATTTTTTTTTTTTTTTTTTTTTTGTATAAGACACAATGACAAGGAGCTGATAAAAAAGGGCATAAAGGCATGCCTGAGTGACCCTCATGCTGGCGGGCACACGCGCTCCTCGCGAGATGCTACCTTCATTTGTTCTGGGCGCTTACTCGGGCTTCCACGGCCTTACGGTTCCTCGCACAAGTGTTGTAAGTATGGCGAGTCGGTATGATGAAGCTCGCTAAGAGACAAGGACAGAAGAAGGAACATGCACAACAAACAAGTTGCGAGTCAGCGCTTGCGTGTTGTGCACGTTCCTTCTCTCTGTCCATGTCTTTTTGTTCGCTGTTCTCTTAACTATGTTGCGGTTCCTCGCAACGTTCTAGCAGTTTGTGCAATCCAGACGCCGTAGTTTGGAAGAAAATCCGCAAGACGTGCGCCGTTGATCACGTGCCCTCCGTTTACGTCGTACCATCACGCATTATGGTGGCCTTGCTAAAACCCCTTGATGCGTAAAGCGTGAATTTTGTGGATAGATTTTAGGCCTCGCTGGCGAGTGCGTAGGCTCTGGCGTATCGCACGGTTGAATTTGTTTGTTTTTCTTCTCAAGACCAAGTTGACATTACCACACAAAAAGCACGACAACGTCTACATGCGAGCTGTTTTGCGCGCGCAAGCATTTTCCGCCAAGTTTGACGCAACTCGAGCAACTTTCGACACCCATATTCAAACAAAAAAGATGTGGGCATGCCCACGTCGTATTTTGAAGTCAGCGAGGAATATTCGAATACGCTCTGATTTAAACGCGCTATTTGTACGGACAGCTAAAATTACTTATACTGAAGTGGCGAAACGGGCGAGTTGGTTCATGACTTATAAAATTAAAAGGGGTAACAATTGACAAGGACAAAAACAAAAAGGATGGCGAGCAGGACGAGCGCTTACTCTCAACTGAACATTTATTTAAAACACCTAAAGCAAACAACCGCCATTAAAACACCCCCCCTCACACACACACACACACACACACACTGAATCACCTAATGACGTCGCCCATCCCCACGTGCCAACGAAATATTAACGATAAATTTTTGCAGCGGTCGTTTTTAAGTTCCAAATTTTGTATCGCTCGTTTTCGTGGATAATGTTTAACATATATGGTCAACGAGTAAGTACGCGTGCTATTTTTTGATAATTCTAAGGATATGTGGGCTGATCATTTCCGGCGATTCAAATCTTAACTGAGTGTTTGAATGTGCAAGTCGCTGTGACATTTTCGATGATCGCTTTTTGTAATTGCGTATAAATGTTTGAAATTACCTAAAGTCCACTGCAAATCCTGAATACTGTTAAATAGCCTTTTTCAGCCTTTTCCAGTATTTGGGTAAATATTTAAAAACAAGAACACGTTACTGACGGTGTGCTTCACGTTCGAAGCCGTCCGTGTTGTCTTGTTGGCTCAAAATTGGCTCATCCACCGAACCGCGCGGGCAGCGCGCGTCGTCCAATACAAGTCGCTGTCGTCTTTGCTGCCGAAAGCTGTCACACCGAGGCAGCACTCTCGCCGTCGTCCATGTTGAGCTGATGTTTTCGCAATCTGACAGGT